TAGTCGTTTCGAATGATCTTGCTGTTTTGGTTGAAAGCTATTTCAGAAATACAGTTATCGCTTTTCGCTCTGGCTTTTCTACTACTCTGTATTGGTGGTGACATGAATCATTTAATGAAATTTTATTGCGTTTTCAGGGCATATTCGAAGAAACTGAACCAACTTGTTTTTGCTCGTGCCGTGCTAGCTACGTTTTATTCCGCACCTTCGCTGGTATGTGTTCTGGCTGTAAGATTAGCAGAACATCATTCAAAGCGCGTGTCACAAGTTATTTTTCACCAAAAGTTTTTCATTTGCCTTAATTAAAGTCCAACTACCTGAAAATGGCACTAAATGGCTTTGTTCGGGAGCAAACAAGGCTCAATTTTATTTTTATCCAGGCCTCATCGTATGTAGCAGCGAAGCGATCAGAGGTACTTTGGAGGTCTACATGGCAGGCGAACATTACGAAATCATCCGCAAATTAGCCGATGATGAACCACCCTATCTGTGATGTTGTGTGCTGCCAGCTGACCCTTAAAAATTAGAACAAGAAGGAAGCGACATACCCTCGTTATTAACGCGCATCTTACAAAGCATAATTTTCCTGTCATTAATCCGGTCACAAATCTTTGAGCAGTCATAAAAAGATTTAATGATCTCCAGTGGGGGCCAATCACCCTATATCCATGCAGAATTCTCCATAGCTTTGACAGATAATGTCATAAGCTTTTTCTAGGTGCATAAAGCTGACGGAAACCTCCATTCACATATTCCCGACATTTTTCATACACCTGACTGGCAGTTATGCAGGTGGGGCGTAAAGGATATTGCCAATCCTGAATTTTTTGCTCTAACTTGCCACAAACTCATACATTACTCAACATTTCTGGTTGACGATATCGGAAGTAAAATGAGCATAACTATGGACTTTGCAAAAGGAACCATGTCAGAAATAGAGCCCATTGTGGAAGCACAGAGGCCGACATCCCACCTACTGCAAACTTCGATTTTCCATTTTTGAAACTTCTTCACTCTTGACCCATGACTTGAAACAAGCACGTTGGCATCTATAAACCGCCGATCGAGAAAGGAAACCTTTGTATCAATTACTTGATAAAATAGTTTCAACTGTTTTTCCTTGGATGCCACCATGTCGAAGTGTCACTAATGACAGGAAACTTAAAAGATTTGAAATGAGCAGTGACAACTAAAATGTTTACTTCAGTGCGCACTGTAGTGAAAGTTCCGTTTTTAACCACCAGGCAAACACAACATGGCTTTGATTCTGTTTACACAGGCAGCAACTTGGAGGACACAATATTCCTTCATAGAATGTGTTGAGACAAACGGTGAGTCCGTCTGCAGAACCTCTATCGACGATCCTTGCCATGCTAGGGTACGTTAGCCAACAGCGTGTCTTTTATACCAAAACTATCTTATACCGTTAACGTAGAGTTCATTTAGGTAACTTCCGATCGTAGCTTGCGACCTTGCGTGTAGCAAGTTTGAATTTGTGCTAGAGGGATGCTCGATGTTAAAAATGAACTATGCAATCGAATGGTTACAAGTAGCTATAATTTACCATACTGTAATAAAATATTCTTATCCTAACAATAAATAGTCAGTTCATTCGCGTAGGCAGCTAAATCAGCTGCGCCAGAGCGATTAAATTTAGTTGAGACCAGCAGAATGAAGGGAAATTTCTTATCGAAACGGATTTACTTGCAATACACGCGGATACAATGGCAACCCAATGCAAAAGATAAATCTGAGATTCTGCTTGAACTGGATCAGTTATTCATCTGCCGTGAAAGCGAATTCTCAAACAACGATGACAGCAAAAGCTTGCAAATTTCATCGCTCCGATACGTGACCGATGCGAGACGACCTAATTCTCTCTATGTTCTTATCAATTTTGTGCGGATATTGGACCTCTCCTATATGGATAACGGCTTAAGTCAACACTTTCCGTGTAATACTTTCAGTGTTTCCTGAGAGTTGCTATTAAAATTATATAAGTTTCAACATTAGATAAGCCACTGACAGCTCATTTTAGAGATGATTATTAAATTCGTCCATTTGCCTCCAGCGGCTGTCCCTAAGATTTAAGTTAGAACTCCATGCTTTACTACCTTTTAAACTATTAAGAGGATGCATTAGTCAGAAGAATTCTGAAATATAAATAATACTTTGCAACAGAACCATGCTGTTTCGTCAGCGGCTCTAATGATATCACCTTTTCTAATCTCTAGATCTTACTGCTGTTAGTTATAGCGGGTGCAGTTGACCTTCGTGCTCACGGCAGATTTAGCATTCTATCCAACGGCAGTGCCCTACAAACTTGCGAATTATTTACTAGGTACATGTAGCTGTATGTCGTTTGCCTATAAAAATTTACTATAAATTAGGGCATCTACCAAGAATCATAAAGTATTAGTCTAATAGTAAAGCTGTCATTATAAATAAAAAACGCAACTATATATGGAGTTCTCTGTATGTTTCAATCCACTGCTGGATGAAGACATTAAATGTCATTTTTCAATAACCTCTTCTGCACCCCGCATTTGCATATGACTAATAAATAACCATCCCTGCTTGTAGCCTATTTTCTTTTATTCTTGGTCGTTTCCTGTTTCCTATCAGCCGATCACAAACCCTTATATTTTCTGGTTACGGTTTCTTTGAAACACTCAACAAATTGCCATAACAACCATGTTACAAACCACCGTTTCCGACTATTCCATCATCTGCTTTCGTTTTTGTGACCCATAACCTCTAGCGATTCAGTGCTACTACGTCACTGCACAGTATGTAGTTCATTTGTTTATAGTCTACGGTCCACATCCATGAGTAATGCAGTATACTTCGGTTTGTACAGTCTTTTCTTTTGATTCAGAAAGGCAGCTTTCGTATATTTCCTTTATTCTGAGTTTTGTAAACGTGCTCCAGGAAAGTTTCTGCTCATTTATATTGCCCACCTGATGTTTTTTAAACTGGGGTGAATTTTCCTGAAGTATCAAATACTTCACGACGTTAAGGTGATAAAACAAGCTTCGCCTCGACTAAAATACTTCTACACTGCTAGTGAAAGCCTAAGCGATGCTGTAAAATATCATCAGATGATTCTTCGCATTTTTGTTTCTTGATTATTACCTTCTACGTCGTTTTCTGTTGGCAAGTTGGTCACCACAGAAAATGCGTAGAAATCTCAAAACATACGACGCCAAGAACAAAGGCTCCAAATGAGCCGGGAGGAAAAGAAAAACCTGAAAGTGAGTAGTATACGATGCCACCATCTTCTTGCACCGTTATGAACTGGATTAACATGTGCTATTAACTCTTGTATTAAAGGACTAAAGTTTAATGCCTAATGCGGCTCACAGGATAGCAGCAATCAGGCAAAATGGCTAGAAACATATAGTGATGCCGAGAAGCAGGGATGCTCGACC